ATGGATTTCAGATTCGAACTGAGCAATTCCTGAAGTCATGTTTTTTAAATCACTTATTAAATAAGACTGGACCAAGTCGTTCTAACCGATCAAACCTTTGATCAGTAAAAAAAACCTATCAAAATGAATTTCATTTGCCCGATTCAACTTACTAAAAAAAAAATTTGGACAAATCTAAAGCTGTCGAAAGCTACACGTCTTTAATATATTTTATATTTTTAACTATTATTTAAAAAATATAATCCAATCGACTGGCCTAGAGATCAAACCAGTTTCAGTGCACTAAACCTCAACCAGTTCACTAGTTCAAAGTAAACTTTGACCAACGTTTAATACCATGGCTTAAATACTTGGACATAGTATTAACCAGACGTATCTCACGTTTTGTCAGGATTTTAGACTGGTAGACTGAATGAAACCCTAGAATGGTAGACTGAGGTTATAGCCTGCAAATGAAGGAGGAGGTGACGTCTTCATCTCATCACACAATTCACAGCTCAAAAGCTGAACTTCCCACGAGACCAGAATCTCTTTGCCTGTTGTACTCTTCTTTAATTTCCAAGGGAAAATGTTTTAATAAGGTTGTAGGCCTCAAGCCCGATCAAGAAAGTCGCACCTCAAAACTCAAAAAAAAGTTTGTAGTTTTGGAGCCCGAAAACTTTTAAATCGATCATTGTGACTATGACTATTAAATTGTGGATAAAAAAAATAAGATTTCAAACCTTAAAAATATTATATATTATAATAATTATTTTGATTGCTCATTTCGCCTTAAATATAAGTCTTTAAAGATACACAAGATTTATATTATTTTTTGAAATTCAAATTTTACAATTGGATATTGAAAATTGATTTTAAAACTATCATAGAGATTTTTAATGCCCAAATTGCATTACGAAAGAGGATTCAAGATGAAGTTTTACTTTGTTTTTTTTAAAGCCTAGGCCTCACTAAAATTTCATCCAAGTTGAAATATTAGTACTTAAAAATGGACTTAGACTTCACTCGGGCTAGCTATTCATACTTTGAGCTCAAGCTAGTAGTGGACGTAGTAATTGGCTTGAGTCTGAGTCGATACTTGGACGTAGTAATTGGCTTGAGTCTGAGTCGATACCGGACGAGTCGGACAACAAGGCTCTCTTAGTAATAATGTTGTGAAAATTTTTGGCTTGGGCAGACATGCTTCAATTTTTGGACCGGTCGTCTAGACCTAGCACCTGGTTGGGTTCGAGTGACTTGGACGAGTTGGAACTACTTATAAAGGTTCACTATTTGGTCGGAGTGACTTAGGCGAGTCCAAGCCTTGGTCAAAAATCAAAATTTGGAATTTGCCCTCTGGAATTGGCACATATATGAGTAGTATTTCGAAAATCGGATCAACTCCGTGAAACGGTTTTCCAAAAAACCGGTATGGATTGGGGAAACAACAATATGAAGACTTCTTCATTGAGAGTATTGGTCGAAAAAGTAAATAATAAGCTTAATTTTAGAAAATAAAAGATTGGCAACTACTATAGAAAATAAAATAGGAGTGAAGTGGGTGATTCGACCGATACCGATTACCAAACTTAGTTATTTGATGGTTCGTCAAGACAAGACGGATTCTCGATTTCGACTAGGAATCGATCGGTTCCTATTGATTCCCAATTTGGATCCATAAATTTTGAATGACTTGATTAGGATGAGTCCGAGTCCAAGTCAGTGAGTATTTAATTCCTATAAACAAATGAAATGTCAAAATTCCCCTTCCTTTTTATGGGTGGATTATTAAGCAAAGGAAAAAGTTTATATAAGGATGCTACCTTCTAATGTAGACCTACGGATGCCCCTCAAAAATCCATTGGAAATGGTAGTTTTAATGTTGAAGAATCCTTTAATTGATCATCTCGACATCGAGATATATGACTATGAAAAATAAAAAGCTTTTAAGTCTCAGAAATAGTGCATTTTACAACATCTTATCTACACCATCCATTTTCAAGATTTTCATATGTTTATTGATCTACTTGATTTTAACTATTTTTAAAATTTAAAATTTTATAATTAAATATAAAAATAGATTTTGAGATAATCCTAAAAACATTTTACATCAAAATTATATACCATGATAAAATTTGAATGTGCACCTTACCTCTATACCTACGGATGCATCCGTATGCAAAGTGCACCCTTAAACAAAAGGATGGTCCTACTAAACTATGAAATAGATTTGACTTTTCCATATAATTATTTTTCTTTTTGGGACACGGTTTTGGTAAGTCACTCGATTCCCCTATTGTTGTGCGGTCTGCAGTCTATCTAATGTTCATATCTAAGATGGATGTTAGAAATGTTATATCCACTAAAATTTAAAATGGACGGTGAAGAAGGGAAGTCATAAAATAAGATTTATAATTTTTTAAAAAGAAAATTTTCAAATCTAAATAAGTGTCATGGTTAAGATTATCGAATCCTAAAATTTTAGATCGCAAATATATATATATATATATTGTAGGGAGACCGCACAAAAATAGTGTGAGCCCACTGACTTTTTGAATGCAAATATTCCCCTTTTTTTTGAATGAAAAAAAAGGAAAAGTTTATATAGAGCCCATGCCTCAAATAACTATCTCAAAAATTTCACTAGAGGAGGTTGTTTTGATGTCCAAATATCATCAAATTGATCATCTAGACATCACGATGCATGGATATGAAAAAAAAAATGGATTTCAAGTTTTGAAAATAGTGTATTTTGTAATGTATTTTTGGACTGTCAATTTTCAAGATTTTCAAATTTTCATGGATATATCGATCTACATTATTTGTAAAGCTTTAAACTTTATAAATAAAAATAAAAATATATTTTAAAGCTTACACAAAAATTTCCAATGTAGAACAAAAATTTGGAGGTAGGCTCTAATGTGTAGAACCTAGGCTCTATACAGCCACACCCATAAAAAAATCAATGGTAAATTTCCTTGTGGCCACACATGTGCGAAGGCGATTAACGCACGTGGCCTGTACAACCTGCAAGATTTTATGATGGTACAAACAATGACCTAACCATGTGTAATATGGCACGTGTCATCTCTAAACAAGCGTGCGAGAGAGGGGTTGTGCACGTGCGGCCGTGCATAATGAGGTACCGGCCTTCACCTGAGAAAATGCCAAAAGTGTCTTTGGCTTTCATTCTTTGGAAAAGCTGATTCAGCCTTTGAGGAGGCATGCACGTGCCAAACTTTCCACCTTTTCTCCCTCTATATTTGGGGGAAAGAAATGCTTCTGTGATAGAAAGGCCAACTGACTCTCTATTTGTACAGGGGCCAACTTTTCCCTCTCAACAAGCACACTCTCTTTTTTTACGAGGACCAAGTAGGGGTGGCAATGGACCCGGACCCAGACCCAAACCAGGACTCGAGGGCTTACTCAATTCGGGTTTGGATAGGGTCCAAAAATTGGATCTAGAGGGTTGGGTCCGGGTCCAAATTTTGGACCTGATCACTATTTGGGTCCCGTTTTAGGCCTGGGTCCTGTCGATTTTGGGTTTGGATCGGATAATGTTTTTCGGGTCCCAATATGTGAAACAATTGTTTTAAGTTTTGAGTCAGGTATGAGTCTGGGTTCCACATTATATGTTTTGATCGTGAGTTCAAGTCCGATCAAGTATGGGTCCCATAACTGGACCCGAACCGGGACCTGATCCAACTTGTTGCCATGCCTAGGACCGAGTTTATCTATCGACAAGCTCTCTTTCTACCTAGACCAAGTGACTTTCTTGGTATGCATGTGTGTGTATGTGTTTGTGTCAATTACTGCAAAAGTTTATAATGCTTCTTCGAATGCATGAGTTTTAGGATTAGGGCTCGGGCTTGAGTGATCGGCAGCTAACATTTAGTAGTGCTACACCTCTTTTAAGTTTTTTGCATGCCAAAATCTCATATTGTGTGTATTCATGTGCTTGTGTCGATCATTAGAGGATCCGGTTTTGGGCTTTCCCTAGCTCATTCCTGGCATACACGAAGGACTGAGGTTGTTCGACAAATTCTAACCTCTAATCTATCATTTTTCACAGATGTTTGAATGTTTTGAAACTTTGCGGACATGTCCAATGAAAATCATATACTTAACTTTTACGAAAACGAAAATTGAATGCGGTCATCAATGTTATAGTATTAAGTTGGACGGTATAGGTTTGATGTCTTTCAAGATAATATAGATTTGATGTTTTGTAAGTCAATATCAAATAGTGACAAGTTTTTTTAATATAGTGTTAAATTTACACAATCAAAATAAATTGAATAATATAAATTACCACGACTTTACTTCTACAAGTCTTAAAAATAATACACATTGCAACAACACGTTATTTGGACCGTCCATTTTCAAGATCTACGTCCATAGATCTACTTGATTTGAACCATTTTTAAAGTTTAAAATTTTATAATTAGAGATAAAAATTCATTCTTGTACTATTTGAAAAAATTTTAACATCAAAATTACATCTTATGATAAAGTTAGGGGGGAGGGGGGGGTGTAAGGTTGCAACCTCACGCAACAATTTTAAAACAGGTAGAAGTGTTTCCCTACTTAGTAAAGGGTACGGGTAACTTAACCTTTTTTTGAGAATGGAGCCGGGGTCGTGATAGTACTACCACCTGAGCTTCAATTAAAGATAACGACCTCTATTTTTATTAGCACTTAAAAAGAAAAATTGACTCTATGGAACGGTTGTTCTTGAACTTGAAAACCCTCCAATTCGTAGTGCAACCTCAATCGGTGTAGATATTAAACAAGGATTCTAAATAATGGAAGTAGTGCATCTTCCAATGAAGTCTATGGATTGTTTATTTTCAAAAATTCTAAATGTTTTTTGATGTATGTGTTTGATCTGCAACATTTTTATATATTTTTAAATTTCATAATTAAAGATAAAAATATATTTTTAAGCCATTACATATGTTTCACTATACGACATCTTCTAGCGAGGTTCGAAAAAGAGGAGTCTATCCACTAGAAAAGGCGCATCTCAAAATCTACTAGAAAAAGTGCATATCAAAATCCACTAGAAAAGGTTGTTCCAGAGCTTGAAGACCGTCCAATTGGTCGGCGCAACCTCACTAGGTATAGATATTAAAGAAGGATTTCAAATATTGAAAATAGTGCATCTTCCAATTATTTCTCTAGACAATCTGTTTTTAAAAAATTGAAATGTTTATTGATGTGTTCGATACGCATCATTTTTATATATTTTAAATTTATAGTTGAAGATAAAAATATATTCTAGGAAATCACATATGCATCTTCTTGCGGGGTTTGAGAATGATCAAGGGGCTACTTTGAAAATGTGGAGAATTTGCACCTGTCACTTTTATCCCTAATAAAATTTAAAAGGACGTTATTTCCTAATTTTCCCGCTATTATTCTAGAAAAATAAAGTGAACAATATTACTATATGCAGGAGATTTTTTCACAAAATGGACGTTCCAATTCCACAAAAGGCTTCAAATGAAATTGGGTTTTTATCCATGAACAAAATTAAAACTATTCAAGCCAATTTTAACGGACCCATCTATCATTTTGCTGCTAAATTTCACGGACTTCACCAAAATATAGCAGGAGATATAAGCATAAAGTACTCCGAATTCAGAAACCCATTTTGCGAAAAGGAAATCTGTTATAAATTGCTGAAATTCTATGCTGATTATGGGGATTTGAGTTCTGGTAAGATGGTCCATGGCGCGATGATTAGAAGTGGCACTGATTCTCATTTAATTGGAGCAAACAGTCTTGTTAATATTTACTGCAAATGCCATGCAGTTGAACATGCTCGCTACCTGTTTGATAAAATGAATGATAGAAATGTGGTTTCTTGGGGTGCAATAATGGCTGGTTATCTCCACAGTGGGCTTCCTAGAGAGGTCTTCTCCTTGTTTGAATTAATGGGTACCAGTGAATTGAGGCCAAATCACTTTGTATTTGCTACAGTTATCAGTTCATGTGCTCAACTTCGGGCTCTTGATCAAGGCAAACAGTCCCATTCTTTTGTATTGAAATCAGGGTTAGAGTTCTATCCCTATGTGAACAATGCACTTGTAACTATGTACTCTAATTGTGGTGCCACAGGAGAAGCCAAAGAAGTTTTTGAAAGCATGAGAAAGAAAGATACACTTTCGTGTAACTCCCTGATTTCGGGGCTTTTATGCAGTGGTCATGATAAGGAAGCTTTTGATTGTTTTAGAACTGTTGTAGGAGATTACCGGGATTGGGATCACATCAGCTGTCTCACAATTCTTAATCTTTGTGCCAGTGTGAGAGATATGAGATTAGGAGAGCAATTGCATTGCATGATGGTGAAGAAAAACCTTGAGACCAATGTGTATGTCACGACTTCACTCATAGACATGTATGGGAAATGTGGTATGATGGATGATGCACAAAAAGTTTTCTGCTATTCAAAAAATAGGAATGTGGCTACTTGGACTGCAATTATGACCTCTTATCTGCATGCCGAGTGTTATGAGGAAGCCTTGAGATTTTTTTCTCAAATGGGTTCAAAGGTTCAGCCGAATGAGTTTACATATGCTGTGGCTTTGAATTCATGTGCTGAGCTATCTTCTATGCATCATGGAGAACAGATGCATGGTCACGCATGGAAGGCTGGCTACACATCCCATCAAATGGTTGGGAATGCTTTGATTAATATGTATTCAAAGAGTGGAAGCATTGTGGATGCAGATAAAGTATTTATGGCTATGGTTAGGAAGGACACAGTTTCATGGAATTCGATGATAACGGGATACGCCCATCATGGACTTGGGAGTGAAGCCCTGCATATATTTCAACTAATGCAATGTGTTGGAGTGGTTCCCAACTATGTGACCTTTGTTGGGGTCCTTTGTGCATGTGGCCATTTGGCTCTTAAGGATGACGGGTTTTATTATTTAAGTCACCGAATGAAAGAATTGGGGATCACCCCAGGTTTGGAGCACTATACGTGCATTATTGGGCTTTTAGGGAGAATTGGGGAGCTTGATGAGGCTAAGAGGATCATGTCATCGGTCCCAATTCAATGGGACATTGTTGCTTGGAGGACTCTATTGAGTGCTTGCTTGGTCCATCAAAATGTTGGTTTAGGGGAGAGAGTTGCTGAGTATATAATCCAACTATACCCCGAAGACACAGGAACCTATGTCTTGTTATCTAATATTTATGCGAAGGTGAGGAGATGGGATCATGCTATCGAAGTGCGAAGATTAATGAAGGAAAACAATGTCAAGAAAGAGCCTGGTGTGAGTTGGATTCAACTGAGAAACAAAACCCATGTTTTTGTTTCGAAAGATAGAAAACATATGCAATGGAATGAGATTTATGAGAAGTTAGAAGAGGTTTTTGTGCAAATCAAATTAGTGGGATATGCTCCTGACATCACTTCTGTTCTCCATGATGTTGAGGAAGAACAGAAAGAAGAGTACCTCAAATATCACAGTGAAAAGTTGGCAATAGCATTTGGTCTTATGCATACACCCCGTGGAGCACCAATCCGGGTCATTAAGAATCTAAGGGTGTGTGAAGATTGCCACAATGCAGCAAAGTTCATCTCAAATACCACAAAGAGGGAAATAATTTTAAGGGATGCTAATCGTTTCCATAGTTTCAAGGAGGGAGTTTGTTCCTGCGGTGACTTTTGGTGATCGCACAATTATTTTTTTTCCGAAGTCTTTGTTAATTCTTTGGACTAGAGTGAAATTTTAAAGAAAACACATTGGCTCTCTCAGGAACTCCTTATGAGCTTGGGATACCTGAGCTCCTTTTAGAACAAGGTAAACTACATGAGATTAGTAGTCTATGTTCTTATGTTATATTGAGATTTTGTTTCTAATCTTATTTGGTAGTTTCTGTTGACACGTGTGGCCATGAGACCTCACGTGGCCTTGCCTACAATTGTGGGCTTCATCCCATGTTTCATTATACTTATTCATTCATAAAAGTATAATAATTATTTATTTTATAAAGCCCTTTTTCCAATGTTCATATGGATGAGTATCCCTGAGATCAGGGAAGACCTTTTCTCAGAGACTCGTTGGAGAAAGATGAACGTTGGCCCATCTTTTATGTTTTGAGGTAATGAACGTTGGCCCATCTTCTCCCTCTAAATATGGGAAGCCAGAGAGAAGGAGACAGAAAAAAACACAGCAAATTACAGAGCCTCTAGAAAGTGACCCTTCTCTCTATTGGATAGTACTTAATTAAAATCCGGGCTGTGCGATCACCAGCCTTACGGCGTCCCCCTCTCTGATATCGGGTTTGGTCTCATCCGCACTCCATCAATTTTTACTAATGTTGGTATCAGAGCGATCCAGGTTCCATCTTCCCTTTTGTTCTAATTTTTTTTTAATGTTGGAGCTTTTGTGATTTATCATCTCTCCATGTTCACATCGTGTTTGTCATGTTCGACGCATGATATTTTCTTGTGTATGCGTAGCCTATTGTTTCTTGTAAAATTCTTTTGAAGCCCTAATATTTATGGAGAGGTTAGGCCAATGTCCCTTTAAAGAATTTTTTTTTTACCATTCATGATTGATATATTTTTTCATTCATGATTGCTGTAAAAATTTTCTTTGCTGTGTAAAAAAAAAAAAATTGTGATCGGATAATTTTGTTTTCTCGACTTATGCGTGATAAAATTTTATGTTCTTCCCTCTTTTGTTCTTTTGTATATATATATCACCGGTATATGCAGTGATTCATCGCGCTAATTAATTATCATATTAATCCCAACCGGTAAGATCTTTTCTTGTACAATTGCCCTTTTATTCTTCAATCACTTGGAGGAACTCCTCAAGTTGGCTTTTCAACGAGGACAACCCAACCAAAGGAAAACCTAGTTGTTTGCACTTTTCTTAATTATTAATTTTATTCTTTCTCTCTCTAAGGAGGAGAGGGGATTTCACCTAGCCGCTTTAAAAATTTATCCCAAATAAAGGGACAGATAAAGTGACTCCGTCTTTTTTGTGGACAAAAATGCTAGAAATTTTTATTTTTTTTGGTAAAAACACTACTAGAATTTGAGAGCAATTATTTGACGCCTTAATTTGATTTGATCTTGTATTTTTATTACTATTATGTGTTTTCCCTTATCTGCCTAATTTGGCCGGAAGCCCAATTTCAGCTGAACCACTATTTTTTTTAATATAAAGATTTACTGGTTTAGATCCCTAACATTGGATCCTCTTTTATCAATCGCATTAAATATTTCTTTTATTGCCTGCTATTCCTCCCTTCGATATTGCTCTTTTAGTATAAGGGCTCACGCATACGTGATATTGATATTGCTCATGCCCCCCAAATAAAAAAAAGGGGAATTTATATTATCTTTGATAATTGTAGTGCTTACTTATGATTGGGAGCTTGCCTATTTCATCAAATGTTTTTTTTAAGGCAGCACTTAATAATTGATATTGTTTATGAAATATTTGCAGCTCGCTCTGTACATGCATTGACCACATATTTAATATTTTGGTGGCTTGTTTAGGTTCTTTAGAACTTAGAAAGTATTAGGTTGCTCACACATAACTTAGCAAAGGACTAGTAGAATTGTAATGGCTGAACTTTCAAGAATTGAAACTAGCCTTAGCGTAAGAACATATAAGATCAAAGGAGTAAGCTTATGCTTGCTCAAGGACATCCCAAATCTAACCAACCCAAGCAAACCTAACGACCAGAAATTTCAAGGGAATTTTAATAAGAGGAACAATAAGTTCAAAAACAGAGGAACTAAGCCCTACAACCAAGAAACTAAATAAGGATCACCAAAATGCTTCTTACGTGGTCAGCCAGGTCACTTCAAAAACCGTTGCTCGCAGAACAGAAACCCGCAAAATCCAAAGCATAACGAAAACAGAAGCAAGAGGCACAAATTGTTTTCGTGGTCTCTGAGTCCTTGCTTGTAGACCACGACATCAAAGGATGGTGGGTAGAGTAAGGCGCTAATCGGCATATTGCAAGCCTCTTTGAGGAGTTCAAAGAAATAAAAGTTGGGGAGAAACACATCTACATGGGGAACAACACCTATTTTGATGCATTAGGTGTTGGAACTTGTAGGTTGTATGTAGGGGCAATCGACCTTGAATTAATTAATGTATATTTTATCCCTTCTATGAGGCAAAATATTATATGTCTCATTGCTCATTAGAAAGGGTTTTGAAGTCCGCTTTCGATCATTGAAAGTATCAATCGGAAAGCGTTGACAAAATTATGCTTGGGGACACTTGGTTGATGATCATAACTTGTTCCTTCTTCACGTAAATGAGAAAGATGATAGTAAAATTTCTACTTATTTTGGTTATGTTGATTGTGCAATGATAGTTGATGCATACACTTAGCATCTTAGGCTTGACTACATAGGAAAAGACGAAATAAATAGGTTAATAAAGAAATGTCTTATTCAAAATCTTAATAACATGGAATTTCCAACCTGTCAGCACTGCTTGTCAGGAAAAATGACTAGGAAATTATTCAATAAAGGAGAGAGAGCTAATGAGTTGTTGAATGTGGTCCACTCAGACATTGTGGGCCCCTCAATGTTAAAACTCATAGAGGGATGTCATACTTCATCACTTTTATTGACAATTTTTCTAGGTTTGGATATGTTTATCCAATTCACCATAAATCAGAAGCCTGAGAAAACTTTAAAATATATAAAACAGAAGTAGAAAACCTATTGGGTCGGAACATTAAAGTTCTTAGAATTGATAGGGGAGGTGCATATACATCCGAAGATTTCAATAATTATTGCTAAGAATATGGTATTAAAAGACATACCACTATGTCTTATATGCCACAACAAAATGGAATAGTTGAAAGGAGTAATAGAACCCTTTTAGATATGACTAGATCCATGATAGCTCATGCTAGTCTACCCAAGACCTTTTGGGGCGAAGCAATAAGCACATCCATGTATATTCTTAATAGGGTTCCAACTAAGGCAATAGATTCTACCCCTTATGAATTATGGACGGGGAGAAATCCTGATCTAACCAACTTAAAGAAGTGGGGGTCGATTGCACATGTCCTAATTCGATATTAACATAGAAATAAGTTAAAAAATAAAACTCTAGTTTGTAATTTTATAGGATACCCTAAAGTTCAAAGGGATATCGATTTTATCATAAAGATAAGGGACTCGTTGAAAGCAGAGATGCTGAATTCCTAGAAGATTTTTTATTGGAGAAAACCTACCTGTAGTAGATAATGATAATCCATTTAATATTGTAGATGACTTAGAACCACTACCTATAGTGGATATGGATAACCTTGATCAATATGATGATGTTGAAGTACCCACACACCCAATGTTAAGTGGTCAAAAAAGGTCTAGAGCTCCTCCATCATACCTTGATGATTTCTATGTCTATATGAGTGAGGAGATAGACAACCTTATTGACCTAGATGAAATCCATGACCCTTTTGACTTCGATGATGCTAGAAAGTCAAACGAATCTCAAGAATGGCTCAATGCAATGAGAGAAGAATTAGATTTTATTGAGAAAAATAAAGTAAGGGATCTATGTGATTTACTATCAAATAGGAAACCTATAATTTGTAAATGGGTACTTAAAAAGAAGTTAAAATCTGATGGATCAATTGATAAATTTAAAACTAGGTTAGTAGCAAAGGGTTTTACCCAAAGAAAGGAAGTCGACTATATCGGCACTTATTTCTCTATTGTAACGTTTATATCCATTAGAATAATTTTAGCAATCGTTGCATATTATGACTTAGAACTTTTCCAAATAGATATAAAGGCTGCATTCTTGAATGGTGAACTAAAGAAAACCATCTACATGAAGCAACCTAAGGGCTTCATAATTAAAGGCCAAGAAAATAAAGTACATAAATTAAATAAGTCATTATATGATTTAAAATAATCTTCAAGATAATGGTACTTAACATATCATGATGCCGATGGGATATGAAGTAAATAGATTGGACCATTGTGTGTATGTCTTAAAGAGTGAGAGTAAATTCATAATACTTTCATTATATGTAGATGATATCTTATTAGCTGGAAATGACTTAGAAATGATTGATAAGACTAAGTCATGGCTTTCTTCTCAGTTTGAGATGAAAGATATGGGAGAAGCATCTTATGTCCTAGGCATAAAAATAACTAGAGATAGAAATAAAAAATGTTGTGCTTGAGCCAAGAGAGATATCTTGACTCTGTTATTAAAATATTTCAAATGGAAAATTGTAAATGATTGTCCACTCTTGTTGAAAAAGGAACAAAGTTGTCTGGGAAGGATTTTCCACTAGAAGGGCAAGAAAAGCCTAACGTTCCCTATGCACAACCTATTAGTAGCTTGGTATATGCAATAAGATGTACAATACCAAATTTGAGCTATGCCGTAGGACTTGTTAGTATATATCAAAGTAATCCAGGCATAACTCATTGGAGAGCAATAAAAAGAATTATACATTAAGGGAGCAAAACATCTAAAATTGTGTTTTCAAGCAGATAAGCTTGAAGTTATAAGATATTCAGATGCAAATTTTGCTGGGGAATAAGGACGATAGTAAGTCCACCTCAGGGCATATTTTCCTCTTTGAAGGGGCAGCTGTTTTTTGGTTTAGCAAGAAACAAGGGTGTGTAGCTAGGTACATACAGGAAGTAGAGTACATTGCATGTACTTTCGCCGTCTGGATAAACTGCTTCATAGATGACTTAAAGCTGCAAATAATCGACGAACCGATTCAAATGTTTTGTGATAATGA